AATGTTCCTAAACTGCTTATCGATTTAAAGAGATAACACTGCAGCCTCCAGTCACTGATCATCTGTTTCCCATTAAGATCACAGACGAAGATTTTCTTCACGAACCGGCTGATGCCTCACCACAAACTGTTGAATTAAGGCAATGGGCATGGCCAACTCGGTGCTTGTGAGAACGTTTGTGATCTCTGCTGTAACTGATTGTGGGCTCTGTGGCTCATGCCGCTTTTGCACAGCACTGTACGACCTTCTAACCAGGAGGTGGATAAAATCCATTTAAATACCTTTTTCCCAGCCATATCCAGTCTGCTCCCTACACAAATGTATGCAGCACAAAGTGTTTACATTCACTCAGTAGGGTGTCAAGCTTTAAGCTTTCCATTTAGTTGAGCAAATTAACAAACCTGCAAACATAAATATAACATATAAAGTCACAAAACGCCATAAAATTCAAACATAAGCTAAAGAAAAAACACACCCTGGACCTACAGTTCAACAGTCAAACAAGCGAAACATCTAAAAATTCACCAGATAAAATAAATCAGAGCAAAGGAAACAATCAGCTGAAATGACCACACGGTTGAGTAAACACCTCTCTGAGAGAGGCTTCAAAAACCGAACATTAGAAACAGCCCTGCATGATTTTTGTGTTGCACTGCAACAGCGCGAGTTAGGTGTTCCTAATAAACTGGAAACTTCATACACTAAACATCTGAAAGCAGTGGCAGCTTTGTCACATTGGTCACATCCACGGCCTTAATAATCGGGACCCGTCTTATCTGAAAGACCTTATAGTACCATATGCCCCAACACAGCACTTCACTATCAGACTGCTCGCTTCCTTGTTGATCGGTAACAAGTAAGGTCCTGAACGCCTCCTGGGTGAGGCGTTCAGGACCTGTAAACCTGGGATGAGCCCCTGGAGCTGGCTTTGGAGTGCGGAGGTGGCCGGGGAGAGTGAAGCCTGGGTTTCTCTGCTTGTACTGCTGCCCACGGATGGCAATAACAGATGGAGGCATGGATGGTGTTTGTTTTTCCTGCAAGTCCTGAGTGTCAGTGCAGGTCAACACAAGAAGGAAAACCCAAAGC